TTTTTTTCTGCATAATTTTGCATAAATGTATAATCAGCTGGATAATCAATATTTTTTAGTATTGAAGCTGACAAAAATATGAAAATGGAAGCCTTACATATGGTTATTTGAGTATGTGCGTCTATGAACACATAGTAAATTTAGATAGATACAGATAAACACACAGATATATAAACATACACACACACAGCACACACAGGACGTTAGTTCATTCAGACCCCAAAATAGCTGTATGTAAAGAGAGCATTAAGAACCTACAACTTAACTTTTTAGTCATTGATAACTTTTTATATTTTTTTACTGACTGTGCAAGCTATTAGTTGCTACAGTCTTTTCTGTTTGTATTATTAATGCTGGTTATGAATGACTGTTAAAAGCAAACAACGTGGGCCCTCCTTGGTGGCAGCAAGTTAAAGCACAGCACTAAGAAGCTAAAGCCACTTCAGCATGAGTTCGATCCCCACCCACCCCACATGGCAGGGCAGACCTCAAAAAGCAAACAATATGATTGAATATAAGTTTTAAAAATAAAAGGTTTTCAGTTAGCCTAAGAAAGGACTAGATCTATTAATGTTCTTTTTTCACATTGTAATAGTCATACTTCTTATTCCCACAAAGATTTGCTCTTTTGTCTTTTTTTAATGCATTTCTGAATTATATCTCAATAAAGTTTTCATTTAAAAAACACTTGACTAATAACCAAGTTACCTAAACGGTGCTATTCAGTCATTTTCACGTAGGTTATATCATTTAGCTTGGATAAAATCCTGATAGCTAAGCACTTTTCCCCACTAGACAAACAAGAAAAGTAAGACTTGAGTTAAATCATTTTTGTTTGAGTTCACACAGGTGGCAAATGCTAAAAAAACATTCCTGACCTTAGAATTTACCTGACTTTAAAAGACTATGTGCTAGGAAGTTTTATTCTGGATTTCAGGTAGTGAAACATTTCCCCCCAATAAGTATTAGCCTTGGTTTTATATTTCTTACAAGTAAGTACTTCTTAAAGTGTGCTGAACCTGAATTTCTGGGATAGGACCCAGCTCACTCTGTTTTAACATGCCCTCCAGATGAACCTGAAACATGCAAAGGTTTGAAAATCACTGTCCAGTTTATGAAACCATTTTTATCGTATATATCAAGGATTGCTATATTTTATTCCCTTGTGTTATCTATCAAGTTTATATAGTATTCACTTATAACTCATAAATAACCTATGAGCATTGTTTCTTTCAATTCATTTTTCCAGACAACACCACAGTTATCCATTATTCAAAAATCTACTGAATACATAATGGTAGATTTGTGTATACTAAATAAAATTTATCAGAGAGATAAGAAAATTCAAAATTTCATACAGATAGCAATATGACATTATTGCTAAGCAAAATAAGAACAGTAATTTCTGTAAGTGAGAGAAAAGTTGGTAAGACCATATCTGATTGCCATTGCTAGCTACTGACCTGAAGTAAAATTAATAGTTCCTGCTCCATCAGATGTACAATAAGGTAAATTATATTAGAGAAGTAGAAACTAGAGCATACATTACTGAATATACAGCCTAGAAACACTTTTATTTATATTATGATTTTATAAACACAGTCATGGTTGCAAACACATGACTATTCAATAAACAGAACTCAGGTTGCCTAATTTTCTCATGCTAAGATACACATTTTTTCCAAATTGAGGTATAACCAATATAATAATATTATATTTGTTTTAATACACAACAAAATAATTTGATATTTGTATATATTATTAAAATATTACTATAAAACTCTAGATAACATCTGCCACCATACATGGTTACATATTTATTTTCTTTAAGCAAAAACTGTTAAGATTTGCCCTCTCAGTGACTATTGGATATGAAATATAGTATTAACTATGATTGCCATACTGAACCCTAGATACCCAGGATTTATTTATTTTATAAAAGAAAATTTGTGATCTTTAACACTCTTCACCCATTTTGTTCACCTACACTGGCGCCTCGGGCTACCACCATTCTGTGCACTGAGTCTATGAACTTGATTTGTTTTAGATTCTTCATATAAGTGAGGTTGTATGGTCTTTGTCTGGCTCTCTCTGACTTATTTCACTTAGTGAAATGGCTCCAAGATCCACCCATGCTGTTGCAAATGGCAAGATTTTCTCCTTTTTATGGCTGAGTAACATTCCATCCCACGTATTTACCTTGATGTCTGTAAGTAATGCTGCAGTGCGCATGGAGTTGCAGAAGTCTTTTTCAAGTTAGTGTTTGAGTTTTCTTTGTATATATATATACACAGAAGTGGAACTGGTGAATCATGTGGTAGATCTATTTTTAATTTTCTGAGGAACTTTCACACTGTTCTCTATGATGGCTGTACCATTTGATACTCCCACTAAGAATAAACAAATGTTCCTTTTCTCTTGTCTTCATCAATACTTGTTATTTCTTGACTTTTTGAAAATAGCCATCCTTACATTTTGAGATACTGTCTCAGTGTAGTTCTAATAAAAAAGGCAGGTGATCTTTAGTTTAAGAAAGCAATACAAAGAAAACATAGGGGCCCAAGTCAGAAACTAGTTAGTGACTAAACTGAGGTCAAAAGCCACTAACCCCTATTATAGTCCTCTCTTCCCCCATCACTGTATCTCCAGTTTAAAATTTTGCTTCTTTAAAAATGCTTGTTTTCGGCCCTCCCTGGTGGCGCAGCGGGTTAAAGCACTGCACTAAGAAGCTTAAGCCACTTCAGCATGAGTTCGATCCCCGCCTGCCCCGGAGGTGACCACATGGCGCGGCAGACCTCTCCTGACCCGCCCGCTGCTCCCCTCAGCAGTGTACTTCGTTGATCTGCCTGTTCTACTCCACGCTCTGTCTCTGGTGAATCCTCTCACCCTCTGCATCTCTGGCCTGTACCCCAGTTCTGTATGAATAAATAAATAAATCTTTAAAAAAAAAGCTTGTTATCTATTTGACTTGATTCAAGGGATACTGCTAATATGTCTGTTTGGATCATCATAATACTTAACGTGCTAAGTGTTGACTTTGAAATACTAAGAGCAGAAAACTATGTGTTCACTGAATTAATCTCTAAACTTCTATTGTTTTTTCAGGTACCACTGCTTTGTATTTGTTCCTGGTTATGCATCCTTCCATCCTTAGTAACTCCCCCAGCCCAAAAACCTTTGAGGAGGTACAGTTCTTTAATAGAAATAACTACCACAGGGGGATTGATTGGTAAGATGGGTTATTAGTATAAATCTAAAAGTATATGTACTGTGAACAACATAAAATTAACACTAATATTCATAAACATATTCAATTGAAGAAGCACAGAAATAATTCATAACTAGCTTTGTCAGTTTATGAAGACGTGCTGCCTTTACATACTATTTTAATTTGTAATACCTTTGGTGATAATTAATAATATGAAATCAAAGAAATGACCTTAATACCTAGCAATTTCATTCCTTTATACTCTTTAGAAATTATATTCATAGCCTTCTCTTCTTGTGCACTTTGCATTAAAGTGACACCATCATCCCTATATATAATTTTCTGTTTTGCTTTGTGTGTATATTTCATGAGTAATGAAAGATTTCAAGAAGCTATTGACAACAAACAAAATTTAATTTTTAGTCTGTGGATTAAAATTAGAAATGTATCATCTGAGGAAAATAGTAAAAATAAAGTTCAAAGTAAAAATGCCAAATATACATAAAAGATAGCATTGTCATAAAAAGTATCTAGAATTCTTACTGTCTAAGGTATAATACTAGGCAGAAAGTTATATAAAAGTAGAATTCTTATATTAATTCTAAAGCATGAGCAGAACATTCTGTATGTTATGTTAGTAGAAAGCACATTTATATTAACCTCTGTAATCAAACTGCGTCCCCATTTTAGAACTATCAGCCCTTTCAACTGTTGCTTGTCAGTAGTCTGAATGGAAACACAAAGAAATGAGCTGAGTATGATTTGAGCACATACTAGAATTTACAGATCTTCTAATTACAAATTTTATTGCCAATTCTTTAGTCCAGCACTTGATATTAAATGCAGCGTAAATAGCATCTGGGAGAATCAGGAAACCATCAACTACTTCAAATGCTATTTAATCACCAACACAAATACACATTAGAATAAAATGACTTTAACATCAGGACTAAAGAGAGTGATTAGAAATGTCTTTAAAAATTAAAGGAAATATAACATTTGGATTCCCTGCAACTGAAGAATATCTGTGGAAATAATCAAAATTTTTAAAAGCTGATCATATGCCAGTATAGTCAATAGGCAATATAAGAGGAATAAAAGGCCCCTTAAGCAGTTTACTAAGAGATGACATAAATAAGGAAAAAATTAAAGAGCAGTTAAAGATTTTAATTCTAACTCCCTGAAAATACAGCAATTATAAAACTTTTGATCAACAAATGGTATATTTATAAAAGGCAATTAACCCAAATAACAAATCATAGTTGCTGCGAATGTCGGTCTATTAGCTCTCAGTGACATCAGATGTATTCACAGTCTCAGACTCGCCTTGCTTGCTAGGAAGTCTCAGCATCTCAGCAGACCTTGGAGGGCACATGTGGGTCTGCTAGACTTCAGTGGTCTGTTTGGCCACCATTTTTGTTACCTGCAGTCCTATACCTGCAGTCCTACCATTTCTGTTACCTGCGTTCCTATACAAGGTCAGAGCTACCCAGTCAATCAGTCATAGGAGCCCAGCCTTACAAGATGCCTTCCAAAACAATCAAGAGCAGAAATCTTGATCCCCCTGAGAAGGGTATGCCTCATGAGGCAAGACTGAGAATGCCCAAGGGGCTGTTAACTGATGTATAACAAGGGATCCCAGAAGCTGATAGGTGGAATACCTTGTTGGTAAGACTGGAGCCATGGACCAATCACAACCAGCATCAAGCAGATTAAGAATTAGCTGGTCAGACTCATGTCCCCCTGAAGCCCTACATGACATAAGCACATTTTCTGTTTCACCCACTTTTCCTCCTACCCCATGTAACTGATGCTGCATGATTATTCTATCAATAAAAAGGCAAGGATCTTGCTCATTCAGCAGCATCCTGCATCGTGTAGCCTGCTCCATAATTCCCATTATCAGTGTGTTGTGCTAGTGTTAACAGCACAGACTCACAAAGGTGAAGATTAAGTGTCTCATAATGCCAACGACACCTACAGAATTAACCCAGCCACAGTTATTTAACCTGGATACATGGATCTGCTTTTCTTAGAGAAGTGGGTAAAACCAGGGCTACCTTAGCTGACAGCCTAAACATGGACTTAGGACACAAGCGGAGGAGGACATATGACTTAGAAAACTCCGTCTGGATAGCCAAGATTTATAAATAAAAGAGCTAAGAAAAGGATTTGATGGAAAGCAATTTGCTACACTTAAGGTTTACATTTTATGATTTATCACTACTTTTTTTTAAATTACCTGGGGAGGCCCTCCCTGGTGGCGCAGTGGGTTACAGCACTGCATTAAGAAGCTTAAGCCACTTTGGCATGAGTTTGATTCCGGCCTGCCCCGGAGGTGACCACATGGCGCGGCAGACCTCTCCTGACCGTCCCGCTGCTCCCCTCAGCAGAGTACTTGTCGATCTGCCTGTTCTGCTCCCCACTCTGTCCCTGGTGAATCCTCTCACCCCCCGCATCTCTGACTTGTACCCCAGTTCTGTATGAATAAATAAATCTTAAAAAAAAAATTACCTGGGGAGATAGTGGAAATTTGGAGTAATGTGTAAAGAGAACTATGAAATTTTGTTGGCACTTCCCACCTCCTAATATCTTAATCTGGCTTTGAGAATAATTGCTTAGGAATATTCAAGATGAGCTCCAGTATCAAACATATGTAGAATATTAAAAAATCAACATTTTTTTAAGTTAAAAAAAAAGTTTCTGAGGGGTGATAGAGGTAGCAAAGCATAAAGCAAGCCAGCACTGCTTTTTAGCCCTCAGGTTGTTAAGCCACTCTACATCACTACTATACCCACCAATTCTTTGAATAACTTGAGTTCAGATTCTCCAAATCTTCAGATTTTCACCTTGGAAATATAAACATTCCTCAAATGTTTTTCAAGTACCTGTGAGCACTAGCCACCATTCTAGAGAAATGTGATATGTGACATAACGAACTAGATCTTCATTTCTCTGCAAGCCTTGGGACCAGGCAAAATCATCATGTTAGAAATTCAAGGTCAGGAACTGTGTAATGGCCTAATCTGCTCAGGATACAGAGAATTGCTGAGAAGGTGGGACAATCTTTAGAAATTAAAACTAGCTGAATTCAGTATACATTCTGCCCTTGTTTTGTGACTTTGTTCAAGGCTTTTTTCAGAATAAGCAAGCTTGACACAAGTTTGCACCAACTGGCATGCCACTAGTCACTTGGGGAAGCTTAGTACCCACAGAGTCAGTGTAAGCATCTCAATCAAGAAATCTCCTGAAATGTGGCACTTTCTGTAAATAGAATATACACCAGACTAGAGAGCAGGTCAAACTTGCCAAAAATGTTTGTACAGCTCTTTCCCCTGAAAAGGAGCCAGAATGACATATCACCAACAAGGAATTTCCAGAAAGCAAAAAAGAAAAAGAATTTCTTTACTGCCCCGCTTCAAGGCATTACTTTGTTATACCAGCCAACTTTGCAATACGTTAACAACTGGAATCTTACCAGAAGTTTTATCCTGAAAGAAAGCTACACACTGAAAAACAAGTCATCATATAAATGTGAATTAGTCTTTTAATTAGTAATCAAAAGCTACATTTGTAGGTGGCCCAAACTCATGGTAACTTATGGGGAAAAGAATGATTGGTTTCTTATAAAATGTAAGGAACCCCAGAAGTTAAAATTGTATGTTCTCTTGCAAAAGGGCCTGTTCTTCTAGAAGGAGTGCCCTAGTGCTTCAGAAATATCTATTATCATATACTGAGTAAGTTTCTATTTTACAACTTTTGCACAGATGGAACATTATACACAATTCATTATGCCCTACCTCTCTGTGCTTGAGATTCAGGTACTTCCATGTTTACTCAGCTTGTGATTTGAATTCTCACCTCAATTCCCAGAATCTGACTTGGAGAAATCTGATAGGAGTTTATATTTAGAAATAAATGCATACTTTTTAAAAAATTTATAATCAATCTAACAAATATAAATGACTCGATGGGATAAAAGAAGCAAATAAACAATGTCTATACCAGATCTATTCTGTACTTTGATACTTTATAGTTCAATATAGCAGCCACACCTTAGTGGAGATGAAATTACGTTACAGTGATTGAGTAAAAATGTTTTGTCTAAATCCCTTTAAGAGGCCTTTGAACTATCAACTATTGTGATCTAATGTACTTTTTAGTTAAATGTTTACAGTTTCCTCTGTTAAAAACTGCATTTAAATATATTGTGCATAGTTAGGTTGATTAATGTTGCAATTTAATCACTGTGTGTATATTTTCGTTATCTCATAAATTTTTCTTGATATTAAGCTAAGCAAAGTGCATTTAGAAAAGATTTTTAAATATATCCATCAGCATACCATCTATTCTTCCCTTGCTAACTATGTAGTACACAGCCTTTTTTTTAAAGGTTAGGAAACTGAGTTTGTGGGATACATTTAACATCTTCAGTCATCAGGGTATGAGTATTAACTAGTCTTACTATGAGAAATATTTCTTTTGTAGGTATATGGATTTCTTCCCTGTCCCATCTAACATCACCACTGATTTTCTGTTTGAGAAGAGTGCCAATTACTTCCACTCAGAGGAAGCTCCCAAAAGAGCAGCATCTCTGGTTCCAAAAGCCAAGATTATCACGATTCTTATTGACCCATCAGACCGAGCTTATTCCTGGTACCAGGTAAGGGAAATAGAGTCAGGAGTTAGAGGGGGACAAAGGAAAATGGAAGATGGTTTTCAATAACATTAAAGCACCATCTCAGGCTTTAACAAAACATTTAGTAGTTTTATATTTGCAGAAAAGTGGATTTTTTTTCTGTTTCCATGGAGAACTTTCTTCATAAGCTTTTATTAATTTTGCATTCATTGATTTAATAAACTGCTAATGTAAAATGAAGATATTAGACTATAAAAAACAAAATATTGTGTTTTCACATGTATGTGTGTGTTTAAACACCTTTATTTAAAAGTAAAATGTTTAAATGTTATCATTTTAAATCATTATTTGTCATCTAATACATCCATATAAAATACATCAAGTACATGCTACTATTAGGATTTACGTATAAGGAGAGTGACTGATTGCCCCAAAAAGAAGTCACTCATTTTGTGTGTGTGTAAAGTATCAGAATAAATATTTCAGGCTTTGTGGGGCACACAGTTGGTCTGTGTACAAGCCTGTCATTTTAATAGCAAATCAACTGCTGCCAATATGTGAGTGAGTGAGCATAGCTGTGTTCCAATAAAACTTTATTTCAAAGAACCAGCAGCAGACCAAATTTGGCAATAAAGAAATAACTTAGTAGCAAAGCTAAAATAGAACTCTTCATTCTTAATAGCCCAGCCAGTCTAAACCCTGTTCTAAGCTCTTCCTCATATACTGATTGCCATTACATTTCTGATGTAGTTAAGAACAGAAGTGACCACTTTGAAATAATTCAACAGACTCTAATAATAATACTTACAGAGGAAATATATTTTTACTTTGATAAATTATTAAACATGATTGAAAAAAGTCTGCTCCAGTGATATTTTAATCACCAAGTAGAAAAGCCCAATAGGAAGTAGTCGAAATATAAAAACAACAAAATTGAGTCTTTAGTCTCTGAGATCCTTAGCATTGCTTCACTTTGTAATTTAAAAACCACTCCCCTCATGTTGCTGTGCTCTACCACACTACCATGTGCCAAGTACTGTTTCTAAGGGTGATTTGAAAATAAGTTAATAAAGATAGACGCCACATGCTACACTGCTGCCTAACTGGAGAGATACATGTAAATAACCAGTGCGTAAATTATAAAGTCAGAAATGACAGAGTGGTACCAAGTGAACGAATCCCTTGATAAAGCCACCAGGGACAAGTTAGGCAAATTAATCAGCTGCAACAGAGTAGCCCAAACCCCATAGGAATGATTCCCCTGAAGAAAGGAAGGACTTATAAGGAAAAGAATTTAGGTAAATTAAAATGGAGTGTTGTGATAGTTGCAAAAAGGAGTTAGCAGGTCAGGCTCAAAACCCAGTTATTTCCTTGGAAAGGATGAAGATAAATGTGGAATGATGTATCTAAAAGACCCTTATTTGAAACTGTACCTGGGTGGGAAATATGGTGCTTCTCTGTGTGAAAGGACCCCTCAGAACCCAGCTCCCCAGGCCAGAGTAGTCTCTTCCCCGCCTCTCATAGGATTTCCTACAGTTAAAGTTCCTGGCCTTCTATAATATAAGAGCATAAAATTTGTCAGCAGCGAGCCCTCTTTTATTTGAAAAAGGCCATTTTTCCCGATTCACAAAAGAACAGATTGTCAGGATCGGTTTGGAAGCTCGGACAGAGTGGGAAAAGGTCAACTGGAGCAGATGGAATCTTAGATAGTCATATTCATAATGATCTGCATGAGAGGGAGTGAGACACCCTACAGAACTGAAATCTACACTTCTGCTCTAATCATCCAGGCCAAACTTCTAGAGTCATCTTTCAAATCCAAATATACAGCAAACTGCAAATTGCCTGATTTGATTTTGTGCCTTTTACCTTTCCTGCCAGATATCTGGAGAAAATAAGAGATAAGCCTTAATCGACTCAAAAAGAAAGAAGAAAATTGGCGCTTGGCAGCCACTTAGCCCCTGAAAAATTGAGAATTTACTGAAAAAGGAGGTTTCGAGTCTGCAGGCTAAACAAAACATCCTCCATATTACAAATAAATCACTCCACAGGGGCAAAATGCAGGCCTTAACAAAGTCTAGCAGAGTTTGTTGTACAGTGATTTGAATCTCAATTGCAGCAATACTGCTATTCAACGGGATGTGGTAAGCATCCACAAGCCCACCACCAAGCCTGAATATATATTGGTCAATTCAGGGAAAAGCTGATTTCCTCAAACCCATGGGCCTGAACTGGGGTTATTATGAAACACTTTACTATTTGGATTGCTGCTTTCTGCTTTCTCCATACAATAAATGATTCTGATTCATGGCAGAGGTTACCATTAGGTAAAATAATCTTGGCTTTTAGAGGCTAGATAGTGTATGATACAAGCTGAGAATTTCAGATGATGTACATATCAGAGTTTTCAGTAGTTTTTCCATTTAAAATAGCTGATAGGGCTTTCTAATCTAAACCTGCATTACTAAATGAAGCAGAACTGTGGCAGAGTGGTAGAGAGCATGTACATGATGAAGATTCTCTAGACATGATAACTGTTTTGCTTATGGGCTGAAAAGGGGGTCTTAATGCAACTTTCAAAAGTTTACTTTCAGAACAAAATCTATACACTGTGGAAACAACTTGGTGAAATTGGTTGAAGGATTTTAACAACAAGAATATAGCCTCTACCAACTAAGTTTTCAAAAAAATACTCTTCTCAGTGGCGTAATTTTAAATCCTGATGCTCCAAGCAAATGTTTTCATCCTTCATTAACTGCAAAGTAAATAAGTCTCTGGCCTTGCTTCCTTGAGCTTTGAGACTTGTCACAGAAGTTGATCTTTAATTATTTATGCCTATGGTTCAAGTCAGTTTAATCATCTACCTTTTCCTCCTAGCATCAGCGATCACATGAAGACCCCGCAGCTCTGAAGTTTAGCTTCTATGAAGTGATCTCTGCTGGGCCCCACGCCCCCTCCGAGCTCAGAGCCTTGCAGAAAAGATGTTTGGTGCCTGGGTGGTATGCCAGCCACATCGAGAGATGGCTTGTATATTTCCCTCCCTTTCAGGTAGTGAGCAATAATAATTTACATCGTGTTAGAATCTCATTAAGTTGATGATTTTGCCTCTAGGATAAATGAAATTTTTACTCATTAAAACATTATGAGCTTTTACTCCATAGTTGTAAATGAGACTGCCACAAAGCCAAAGTGAAAAAAAAAAAACTATTCTTTCTAAAAGTATTTCAAGATTATTCTCTCTGCTCCATTTTCTAGTACATGTCTTTTCTGATTGTAAGACTTTCATAACACTGAAGTTTACTCATCCAAGAATAAATTTGAATCCCTCTTACCCAAAGTACGCGAGTGTTGTTACTCTTAGTTAAGTGCTATTGTTTCCCTTCCAACCACCTTCCAGAATTTTTTATTAAGTATGATGTTTTTCTTGGCATCCTGCTTCTCTCATTTAGCTGCTATCAACCTGAATTATAAAAATCAGCACTATCAGATGGGGTGTATACCGGTGTATCTAGATCCCTGTTGTCCAACAGGATAGCTGGTACCACATATTGCTATTTAAAATTATGTAAAATCTCAGGTCCAGACCAAATGGAAAGGCTGGAGAAGCGGGCTGAGCAAGAGTCTCCTCACAGACTTTGGCCATCTTGTTCCCTCATCAGAGTAAGAAGCAAACCCTTCCTGCTGCAGAGGAACTTCTGCCCCTGCTCAAGTTCTCTGTGATTCTGACCCTTTTCTCCAAATGGATTACCAACATCTTTCTTAAAACGTTCGTTGCTACTTTAAATGGGATCATGGAGAGTGGCATGTTCTCAATCCTGTCACACCTGGTGCTCTTATCACCTTTCTAGGGTTGTTTTTGGCTTTTAAGTTTGATTTCCATAGGTGACTTGATAGTCCACTGTTAAGCTCTCTTGGTATCCACAAATTTTTGTTCATAGTGTTTATAGGACATCTCAGACTACAAAACATAAGTGCAATGAAGGATTGTGCTTTATTTCTCATCTTAGGTCACTTATGATGAAGACCTGGTTTAATAAAACAATAGCGGATGGAGATCCCCCTCAGTACCATAAATTATATTGAATAAATTCAGAATGCAGATATTTTTTTATTTTACTGTTATATGTGTTTATTTTTACAATATGTATTGTCTTTTTAAATTTTCTTTGATAATTTAGTTGCTAATTATCGATGGACAACAGCTAAGAACTGATCCTGCTACAGTGATGGATGAAGTACAGAAGTTTCTAGGTGTCTCTCCTCATTATAACTACTCAGAAGCTTTAACGTAAGTCTGTATTCTAATTAGTCAACTGATGTTTCAGCAGAGAACTGGTTTTAAAGAAACTGTAGCTTAGTACTGTAACTGTTGACTTTAATGGCCCTTAAATACTAATTATTTTCCAATTTGACATTGCCACTTGGGAAAGAACAAATTCAACAATGCAGCAAAGAGGAAACCCTCTGATTCCTAACTATGAGAGATTCCCCTCGAAAGAAAGTCAAGACCACTTAAATAAGTCGCTAAATGCTGAACCTATATAACTGGCAATATTGGGAACTCTTGAAAGTATAAAGAAATAACTAACCAGGTGGTTATGAAGCATGAACTTGGTCTTCTCTCTGTGGTACAGTTTTCAAAAACAACACTACATATTAAAAAGCTGCCCGACAGCTGACTCAACAGTGAGAGAGATGTGCACTGTTACTCTTAACACCTAATCCATCTTTTGCTTCTGTGTCCTTGTCCACTGGTGTCTGAACCTATTACTGCTTTCAGAGGTCAGAGCGGTTATAGTTCTGGTAGGTTTTCTTATGCTGGTTCTCTTAGATTTTCTTACATAAGCACTGTGAGAGGTCTGAGAAGCTTTATTGGAGGTAGGACAGATTCTTGAGAATGGGTGCCTCCTTCAGTCCCCTTAATTCTGACTCTGCACTTCATTTAGCATTTTAAATAAAACTTGCCTCTGACTCGGCACAGGTGTAAGAGTTGGCAATCAGATTGTGGGGGCTGTCTGTCACCCGTTTGACATAGAGCAACTGGTAAATGCTAAGCTGGATCGATCATGAACTGACTCTCACATTTTTTTTTTTTTTTGTCGTTTTGGGGTCATAGACTGAGTCTTAAAGAAACTTAAACATTCTGCATTATGTAATTCGTCTATTGAATTTCTCAGTATAAAACTCAGTTCTGTCAGTAAACCAATGTTCCCTTTTCATTGTACTATTGATGCTGTAGCAATTTATGGAAGTGAGAGGCAGATTTCCTTTCTCTTTCAGCATCCCAACAGGAAAAATGGCAGAAAAACATCAAATACTGCTTACATCTTGAGCAAAGCATACATAAGACACACGTAAGAGAGACATTTTGATTTAGAGGACAAAGGAGGAGATGGAACTCCAGGTTTGCGCTTCTTCCCTAAGAGTCCTTTACTTTGTTGTTACTATTAACCCTCTACCCTGTGCATCCTCTATAGTGCAAGCACTGTTAGAGCTTTGTAGAGCTTAGTTCAAATCCTAACACAGACACTAGCCTTAGGTATTTAACTTTCAGCTTGACCTTAAAGAAAGCTGAGTGATTTCAGTTTGCAGTTAGAAATTCAAGTCCACTTTCTGCTTTATATCTTTTTTAAGTATCACTTAGAAAAGAAAACTTATTTTCTAAACTGTTTTCTATTTCAAGTTGGCTTATCTTTGAGTCTTTTTTTATAGAGTATATAGCAAAGCATTGTATTTCGGGGGAAAAAAATAGTGGAGTATTCTATAAAGACATAATCTCTTTTTCTATGGAATGGTCCTTGACCTACATGCTGTGTATTTGCCCCCTTTGTATTCGGCTTGGAAACGGGCTTTTTCTTCCTTTCCACTGCTAAGAAAAGGTAGTGTAAACATAAGAGAAGCAACATCAAAGTAACATTCTCTATTCAGAGAACTGTGGGTCACTTTGTACCTGTGATGTATCTGGCTAAAATTACCCATTCTATGATTCTCTAGCCTGGGTGGGAGCTCAGTGGGTGAGTTATCAAGATAACACATATGTAATGCCTGAAACTAGCATTTCTGGTCTACCAGGGCTGCCCAAACTCCCACCCTGCTGCTAGGGATAAAAGCACTGCCTTTCAGTTCCCTTTTGTGTTTTTTTTTTGGGACTCATCAGTTGGCCTGACACACCTTGTGAAAAACAGCAGTGTGCCTATTGTAGAATATTTGGTATTTCATGTCAGTGCCTCAGGTCCAAATCTATCCTCTTTCACCCATGCCATCTGCAGTTGTTCTCAGTCCTCCCCTCATAATCTAGTTATTCTTGTTGGAGTAACTATTCTGATAGGTGTTCCACAGTACTCTGAGCACTTTGGAGGTAACAAGGAATACAAAAGTATGTTACTGGGAGTGTCATTTATTTCTTCATATCTCTCCTGTTAGTGACAGTGAATGATGATAATTTTGGTACTTAAAATTATTTCATTTAAAATTGCCTAAAAATATATTGAATTGCAAACAGATAAGAATTATCAACTAGTCACTAAATTCAGTTCTAAATTCAGTAGAATTAATAAAACTAGCTCTATACCAAGACTCTATAGTATAATATTGGCATAAATGAATACTCCAACTTAAAGAGATCATCAACATAAAATATTCCAACTTTATAACTATTTTTTAAGAAATAGCCAAAACATCCATTGTCAGGTGTTACTTACACCTTTCCACAACTGCTAAGTGTTCAGGACTTCCAAATTTAATGTAGTCCCTGGAGGATAGTTTGTGATGATGACTCAAAATTACTTAGAACCATCAGTATGGATTTTAAATGACATATTGAATATGTAAAGAAAAAAACTCTGGATTTCTTAGTGCATGCACTAAGAAATACGCATCATAAACCTTAAACAATATAAATGGAACTTTCTCATTTAACTAAATTAACATTTCACAATTCTCTTTTAATATAACTGTAACCTCCAAATTGTAAATAAATTGATACACTGGTACTATGTTTGGTTTCACATGTTTTTAGAGTGTTTTAAAAATGGTCAACAATTTAAGAAAAAAAAACAGGAAAAGAATAATGCTTAACATGGAACTGTACTATTCTGTATAAACTAAAATGAAAAATAAAAACCTTTAATTTTGTCTCTAATATATCCACTTAGTCACACCTAGCCAGCAAGGACTATGGCAAAAGTCTTCACACAAAGGAATACAAGTTAGTTAAATACCTGAACCTGACATGTTTATTTCTTAATCATTAACCCTTTTATTGAGATGAATGAAACCAGACTGTTCCATATAATTTTCTAATACTAATTAACAGTGAAAATGTCAATAAGTGGACAATAAGGATTTGAGAACCATGGAATGAACAAAGATTGTTTGATGGTTCAGTTTTGTTCTGTGAATGAAGCTTAACTAAGTCATAAAGGACTGAAGTACCTTGCTTGTTTCTAATAGCACTTCCACTGGTAACCACATTAATATTGCTCAGGAATTCTTTCCCATCCCCTTATATATGAGTTTGGGTAAAAACAATGTTCCACATTAAAACAAAAACAGTTGCCATAGCAGCTAAAAATCTGTTGGTTTTCCAGATGACCTATGAAAGAGCACCTAGAACTAAGTAATGGTTTTTCAAATGATTGTAATACCTCATGTTTTACATATACACTTACATGTTCTATCTTACATGCACTACTTTATAAAAAGCACTATGAGATAGGTACCATTAGCTCCATTTTCAGCTTAAAACAACTGGGGCTGAAGTGCATGACAGAGGGCTATGTAAAATACACCTGAAGGATGTGGTCCCAGATGTCTAAATCATAGTATACCTCAATCAAAAACAAACAATGGGGGCACAGAAAAGTGTTAATGTCCCTGCTCATGAGTCTTTTCCAACTATTTCTACATGTCCCCCGATGATATTCACCCAAAATTAAGAACTAGTGCATTCTTATCTTACTCTTAAAGCAGCAAATTTCATTGAATAACTATTCTGTGCATAACACTGAGGACACTACCATTAGCAAAGTATACCTATATTTGGAAAGGGGTAACTACAGAGACACTAAACAGCACATAAAACTTCCTCAAAAATGTTCACTTCCTGAAAGCCTGTAAGAGAGTTCTGACCATGACCACAGTGCCAATCCTACATGAAAAGGTGGTTTCCTTGCTGTTCTACCAGGTGTCAAGAGCATTTCAACTAGTCTTCAGGATAATGGTTAACCAGAAAAAGATGTAAGGAGATCTTTCTATATCTCCTGTCAACTTTCTTCACTTGGACCATGAGGTAGCACTGTTTATGCCCTCAGATTCACAACATCACTCCCTCATTAACATCAGTCCCTTTACTTCTACCTCAGGCTACCTGGTAAATGAATATAATCTACTTTCCTCTCCTTTTCCACTCTTAAACTCATCAGTGCCTACAAACTTCATACACAGATGCCTAGGTGAGATGCCAAGCGCACACACACACACACACACACACACACACACTTTTCTCAATAAAGCCCAGCATGACAGTCTGTTGTGTAAGAGCTAGTGAAATAGCAAATTTTAACATGTATGAAGTTCTGTGTTTTAAAAAAAAAAATCTGAGAGGGCTGTTCATTTTGCCATAAGGTATATGTATGCTCCAGACATATTTATTGTTAAGTACCTTTTTCAAAATAATGTAATAACTAGTCTTAAGTCTGAATGAGTCAGACATCAACATAAAATGAGTCAGATAGCAATTGTGGATATTGCTAATGACAAAAAGATAAGGAAAATGAGATATTATAGCAGACTTCCAGAAATGCTGTATTAGAGTTTTCCTTCCAGGTATATTGTTCTATTAGAGTTTCCCAGCTTTCACATACAGGTTATTTAAATAATACAGTATTTACTAATGCTCTCCTTGTACCTTGAAGATGAAACTCGCTGCTGCCTTCCTTTCTCCATAAGAATAGAAATAGCATAAAGATGTCTCATATTGTGTTTTGATCTCATCAAATTTCTCTAGCAATGACTGAAAACAGGTTTTGCATAAATGGGCTAGGAGTAATCCCTTATTAACTCTAATACTCAAATTAGCAGAGGCAGAAATTTAGGTTTACATTTTTTGTAAATGAATAGTTATCAATTATTAAGATTAGCTACATCAAAACTTTCTGTAAATGACACACATTACTACAAACATATGCATTCACCTTTAACATTTATCTTTATAAAGTGTATAATTTATATGTAACAGAATCCACCAATTTTAATTGATGATGAATTTGAACAAACATGTAAAGTTGTATATACCCCTACACTCAAGATAAAAAACATTTCCCTTAATCCAAAAGGTTTCCTCATACACCTCTACAGTCAGTCATTCTCCCTTTGCCCCTAGCCCCTAACACTCACTAATCTACTTTCTTTCATTTAGCATAATGCCGCTGAGATTCTGCCATACTGTTACATCTACCAGTAATAAGTTCTTCTGCATTAATGATGGCTATCAGTAGTATGTAGTGTGCCCAGATTATGAATCATTTATCCTTTCACCATTTAAAGGTTAATATGAACAAAACTACTGTGAACATTTTTCTGTAGATTACTGTGTGGGTATACACTTTCATTCCTTTTGGACAGACACCTAGAAATGAGGTTGGTGAGTCATACAATAATGTACTTAACTGCACAGAGAAAATTTCCAAAGTGACTATAATTAATTTCAATCAACAAGATGGAAAAGTTCCACTTGTTCTGCATCTTGCCAATACTTGCTTACTCTAAGTCAAGTCATTGTAGTGAGGATATTGACATTTTATTCATGATTTTAATTTTGCATGACTTATTACTTATGATATTGAGTAAATTTCCATTTGTTTATTGGTCATTTGTATGTAGTCTCTAATAAGTATCTGTTCCAAATCTTTTACCCAAATTTTATTGGTACTGCCACTTTTTTTATTGAGCTGTATATACTAAATACCAATCTTTTATTAGATATATACTTTGCAACAATGTTGACGTAATATGTGGCTTCCCTTTTCATTTAAGTGTCTCTAGAAAAACAAGCTACAAATTTTGAAGTACTCATAATTACTGTTCGTTAATTTGTTGTTCATTCTGTGAAATACTTCCCTAACCTAAGGTTACATAAAATTTGTTTTCCTATATTTATTTCTAAAATTAATACAGTTTTGGCTCTTGGGTTAAGTCTATGATCCATTTAAATTTACTTTATAATATGCTGCATGTATTAATGGTCAATGATAATTTTTCCATATATTATATCCATTTTTTCCAGTGATTAAAACACTACAGTTGCCTATTTAATTACCCTGGCACTTGTTTCTGAAAATTAGTTGAACATAGTTGATCTACTATTGGGCCCATTTTTTCCTTTGATCCATTTGTGCCATACCACACAGCCTTGACTAGTACAGAATTATAGTAAAACTTGAAAATAAATAGTATAAGATCTTCAACTTCACTCTTCATTTTTTAAATTGTCTAGGTCATTTGTATTTCTACATACATGTTAGAATCATCTTTTCAGTTTTGACCAAAAATATTCCACTAGAGTATAGGTTGGAGTCACAGAGACTCTATAGCAAAATCTAGAGAGCTGATGGTGGTGCAACAGGTTAAAGCAGAGCACTAAAAAGCTCCCCAAAGCCACTGCAACAAGAATCCAATACCTAGCTGGGATTTTTTTTTTTTTTTTGCGGGGTAGTCTTTTTTTAAAAAAAAAAAAAAAGATTTATTTATTATTATTATGCATACAGAACTGGGTGTAGACCAGAGGTGCAGGTGTGGGTAAGCAGATTCACCAGAGACAGACTGGGGAGTAGAACAGGCAGATGTTCTGAAATACAGTGCTGAGAGGAGTTGCAGGCGGGTCAGGAGAGATCTGCCACGCCATGTGGGTTAGCTCCCTGTCTGGGGATAAAACTCGTGCTGTAGTGGCTACGGTAGCTTCATAGTGTTATACTTTAACCCTCTGAGCCACCAGAAAGGGCCCTTAAATAATCTTTAAACAAAAAATCTAGAGAGCTGCTGTTTTAAAATCTCTAGTCTTCGGATCCATAAACATGGTACATCTGTCTTCTATAACTGCTTTTAGCAAATTTTGCAATTCTCAGTGTGCAGATCTTACACATCTTTTGTGTTAAATTTATCCGTATTTTATGTTTTATGCTAACTGAAGTTTTTTTTTAATTCCAACTTTTTATTGCTCACTCTGTAATTTTAAGCAGAATTAGAAGCAATATTCTGAGTATGGTTTAATGACCAAAGAAGGAATTGGCCCTAAATGACACTTCTTTCTAATGACAAAGAAATTATAGCAATCGAATCGTTCAATAACAAAAGCAATGTGAAAGAATTATCCTGATAACTACAAGTTCCACTTTTTTATTCAAGCAGAAATTACTAGTTATTCACAAAGAGTGATAATACAGAAAATACCCTGCAACCAGAGAAGGCAGGCCATAGATCTACAATGGTAAATTGAGGCATTCCCTGCATACTAAAAAGTAAATAATCCAAGATAAATAAACCTTGACAAAGTTCTTCTTTTTCATGTATTATTCAACTGACATTTGGAGAGTGTTCTCAAAGAGTCAAATACTATACTAAATGTTATAAAATGGGAAGACTCCTGCACCACCTACCATTAAGGGCTTATAATGTAAGCTCACATGAGAATTATATTAAACTTTTCAGTAAACAACAATATAAATTTATGTGCTATTATTTTGATTATAGTTATATATTGAAAACCCGTAAATGCTGTCACTTTAAAACAGAGTTCAAAAAAAGAGAAGAATGTGGCTTTAAGATTTTAGGTAGAGAATTCTAAAATTATTCACTCCATGGCACAACAAAACCCTTTCTATTACCCTGTAACTATATGCTACAAATACCATGTAAATTCATGGATATGGATGAAGCCTGGCTTGTCATTTTTAAATCCTACAAAGGCAAAGCATGTGCTTGAAACTTAGAAAAAAAAATCCCTTCCAGATGAAGTAAGCTTATTAATTTCTATTAATAGAAGACCTTCTGCTGACAATTTTTCTATTAGGTATCTGGCAAATTCACAAATATGACAGATGGGCTGAGATTGCAGAAGGATGCCAAAAGACTTTATGCAAAGGGATATAGTCAAAAAATGCTAGTTTCCCTGGTTATATAATTGATATTAAAAAAAATCATGCTTTTGCTCATTGTAGCGTATAAATAGCTTGAAAAATGTTCTTTAGTTTTTGTATTTTTATTTCTTTAGGTTTGATTCTCACAAAGGTTTTTGGTGTCAGTTATTGGAAGAAGGTAAAACAAAATGTCTTGGGAAGAGCAAAGGAAGAAAATACCCTCCAATGGATCCTGATGTAAGCATAGCACTTAAAATTACGAACTAACCAAAGTGACAACTAATAATAAACCTATTTTCTTAGAAAAGTAGCTAAAATCAAAATGTAGTCTTTCTAAAAATTAAATGTGACAATGATATTTCAATATAACCAGATTGCTTGCTTTGATTTTTCCAATGATATATTACCTGTCATGCAAGAATAAAGAAAAAAACAATAGAATTTGCCATTTTGAATCAGAACAAAAATGGCAAAATCTCATTTCAAAAGGAATATTACATTCATGAAGATTTTAGCACTAAAATGTTAGCTGAAACCAAGACAGGAGATATATTAAATGGAAACTGAAAATAGGATCAATAGCTTTCTAATTTTCCCACTAAAAAATTCTGTAAGTGTGGCCTGCATAACAATAGTAATTGCTGGTAAACTGAGCTTTGAGTTGCTAATATGCCGAAAATTAATGAATTTTCCAAAAGCCTGGTATATAGCAGATAATGAAGGCTTTGGAGAATGAGATGCATACTTTGAGGTAGTTCATTCTCTTCAGAATGGGGACAGGGTGGTTTGCCACGTGCTGCAGATTCTCAGTTTATAGACCCATTGTTTTACCTTAGTGAGATTTTAGGTATGTTAATTTTCATTAATATTATTTTGATTTTATAACCAGTCCAATCTGTATATAACTTCGATACATGAATACAAATATATTATTTGAAAAAAAATTAACTCAGAAGATAAGAACATAATTTTTCCCATGTTTTATACATTTTTAACTAAGAGTCCTACAGTGCCTAAGAATTCTGAGAGAGTCTGAGTCTCCTAAAGTTTGACTGAATCCTTGAATAGTATGGGGACATTTTTTTTATTCCAGCCAAGGGTCAGAGGACAACTTCTGTCCTCACTGAATTCATAATTAAAGTATATTGAAAAGGAATGGGGGAGTGTTTCCTGATGTCTTGATAAGTAAATTGTTCTGGTTGCTTAAGTATTCTTTCAGAGCACTATGAAAACAATCTTCACACTTATATAGATCTGAGAGCAATTTCTATAGTGTTTCAATAAATTATATGAAATATATCATTTTCATAATATATATATACATAAAACTATTAAAGTTAAAATACTTAAAAGACACTATAGAATATCTACCTTATCTAGCATTTTATTTTACCCCTATCAAAGACAGACATACTGACACATAATAATAAATTTGGTTGACAGACAGAAGAAAAACAGGTTAAAATTGTAATAAATATTAGGATTAAGATACAAATATTTCCACTTTTAACCCTAAACAAGGTTACAGAGTGAGATGTTCCTAAGATCTATTTTTAATCCGAACCCTGACACCAACTGGATGGGTTACAAACCAGGGAGTTTTCCATTTTTCTACAGACACCAGTTGGGTATCCTGAAGTTCATTTCACTAACCACCCGGAGTTATCACAGACCCTATAGGTTAAAGGCTCAGTCCTACAAGACTACCCATCCACTGCAGACTCCATTACCAAGTGGTGGGTTTTAAGGACTATATTCCTATACAACTTGACTACAAAACCAGGGATCGCAAGATCCCCTCATCAAGTTCCATAATTTGCTATAAGAGTTCACAGAACCCTGGAAACACTTTGTATTATTGTAAAAAACACAGATGAGTAGCCAGCTGAAGAGAGGTACACAGGACAAGATCAGATGATCAGATGATCCTGAACAAAGGAGCTTCATCTCAATGCAGCATGGGATGTAACACATTCCCAGCACATGGATATGTTCACCAACCCAGAAGAGCCCCAAATTCCTTCAGTTACGGATTTTATACATGTTCCATTATGTAGGTATGATTTATTAAATTACTGGCCTTGAAAACTGGCTCAATTCCTATTCCCTCTCCTCTTCCCAAAGGCTAAAAGGTAGGGTTGAAAGTTCCTTTCCTCTAGAGATACCTTTGGTTCCCCTAAAAAGCAGCCCCCATCAGAAGCTATGTAGCATCCACCAAGAGTGACATTATTATTATAATCTCAAGTATAGTTAAAAGGGGATTGTGATGCTTAATAAAGGGCACTTCCAACCCATCACTCAGGAAGTCCTAAGGGATTTTGAAGCTCTGTACTGGGGAAGAAGAGCAAATGTATTTCTTATACACTGAGTTTCCTTCAGAGAATAGAATGGCTAATTATGCACAACAGTGCTAGATAGGAGACAAAAATAAAGAGGCTTCCAAAGAATGATGGAAACACAAGTGTGTGGAACAGATTCGGGCAAACTGTAAGTCCCCTGGATGCTTGCCTCTCCACCCACAGAAAAATGTCAGCATCACTCCTCAGGACTCTCACGAAATCATAACTGAGTTCAGGTGATCCTGCTTAATCAAGACTGTTGTAGGCCTAATTCCATTTTGACTTTGTTCATATTTTTAAATGAACATCTTTAATGACATTTTTTAATGAACATCACTAAATCTATTACCTCTTCAAATCAAAAGAATAAGAGTACATATTACTCATCATAGCATAATGTGAATTTGCGTGTATGCCTGGCTACATTGACATACATTAACAGGCCATTTCATCTGTGATTTTTATCATCTAAAAAATTCCCCTTCTGGGGCCCTCTCTGATGGCACAGTGAGTTAAAGCACAGCACTATAAAGCTATCTGCAGACACTGCAGCATGAGTTCAATCCCCAGCAGGCAGGCGACCCACATTGAATGGCAGACCTCTCCTGACCTGCCCACTGCTCCCCTCAGCAGTGTACTTCAGTACATCTGCCTGTTCTGCTTCCCACCCTGTCTCTGGTGAATCCTCTCACCCCCTGCAACACTGGCCTATACCTCAGTTCTAATATGCATAAATAAGTAAATCTCTAAAAAAATCCTCTTTTGAATAATCCTCAGGTAACAATGCATGCAAAATAAATTCTAACATATCGCTGAATTCTGTTCTAGTAATGTTTTGCTTGAGAATATTATATTCTCAGATAGAACATGGTATACTTTGCATCTCCTATCATTTATTTTTCCTCATCAAGAGAACAGCACCATAGGAGGAAGAAAGGCATACTTGGTTGTAAGAAGAACAGGCTAAAGGGGCACACATATACCCATAATGGGCACAGGGGAAGGGTTTGATAACAGAGGCAGCACTGATATAGGAACCAAGTTTGAAAATGGTGTCCTTAAAAGGCCAGTAGGTTCAGGTACAGTTAAGATAATATTAAGTAACAGGAGGTTCAATCCAAATAACAAGGTATGGGCAGCAGAACTGGACCCCAAGAGGTGCCATTCTGAAGGTCATAAGGAACTGGACATTCACCATATGGGAAATATTAGGAGCCAATGGGCAGGAGCTGGGCAGCTCCATACTGCTGCTGTTGCAAGCAGATTTCAGTCATACAGAGGAACGAAGCAAAGTGAAAGAGCATGACAGGAAAGTTTAGAAATTCGCACTCTACCTCCAGGCTGGGGGCTCACCTCGGTTTATTTGACAGCAGAGAAGACGGAATCATCAGGCTCCCAGATGTTACTATAAATTACTTCCACTATCTTCTGATATGAGTAAGCTAACTGGTCCTATCAAGTGTTCATAACTAATGCCTGAGAAGCCCAAACACAGTAATGAGATAAATTAACATGTAAGCAACCCAGATTTGGGCTCTTTCTTCATCACATTAGTGGGTACACTAGAGTTCAAATGTTCAGTATAGTTCCAGTGATCCTAACTAAGCCCAAAAAATGATGTTACATGAGAAATAATCAACAGAAAATGAGAAGTTTATTTTTTCCTGTATGACAATTAAAATGGAGTACCACATATGACATTTAAAAAGAATAGTACAGTTGGTAAATAAAATACTTTTTAAAGGTTCAAATCAATCTAAAAACCTCAGAGTGGTATATAACAGGGAAACATGTTAATAGAAACAGACACAGAAATCCCCTTCAGAATAACTCTTCACAGCTGTCACCCATAGTAAGCACACTGTAAGTCCTTAATGTCATAGACAGATTTTTTAAAATTGAGACTTCAAGTGAAACAACTCTGAATGAAAGCAGGTCTTCAAATGACATTGCTTTGTTACATGTCAATCAAGATTTTTTCTCATCAACCTCATAACTGAACAAAATGGTGTGACTCGAGGGCCTACTGTATAAATACTACCCTGCATTACAACCTTTCCATTTAGACAGCTGAAGTCAGATATTCTTTTCCTTCCTTAGGTCAAATAACACAAGCATAACAGGCTATAGGTTTACCTGGTTTAACTATCTCATTTTTAAAGCTTATACGATACTGTTTTTACAGTGAATACTGTGTGTTCGCCTTAGGGAATGTCTTTAAGAAAGCATTACCTTCAACATCTAATGGTAACAAAGGAGTATGTTATAGACTTACCAAACTTTCTCCAATGCTAGGATGATTAATAGAGAACAGTAACAGACCCAATCAGAGTCACAACTGCTTTTCTTCACCTCAATCAAATTACTTTCACATGTAGTTCTGCATAATCAGAGAAATCATATGTGTAATGTGAAAGCTCTTACCCCAGTTAAAAGTGTATGTCTGTGTGGTGTATATTTCACAGGGCAGATTCACCAGGTATACATTGTGCTAAGCAGACCATATGCTTAGTGTCAGTTTTATCTAGCTATGTAATCCTTGATATGGACTTAAAAACACACTTTTTCTTCCTCTTCCTATATCAGAGCAGAGCATTTCTGTCAGGCTACTACCGAGACCATAACGTGGAACTGTCCAAGCTGCTGCACCGCCTGGGGCAGCCTCTGCCTTCGTGGCTGAGACAGGAGCTGCAGAAAGTGAGGTAGCACCAGAGACAACTTCCTCGGAACCGTCCTCCACAGGATGCTCACCTTGCCCAAAACTTCAAGTAACTGCCAAAAGTTGTTTTAAAATATACCTCTTCAACTGAGAAAAAAAAAAAGTTCCTTCCATGTGCTGGCATGTGGATGATCAAAAAAAAGAGAAAAAGAATCTGTCCCAAGCCCTGAGGCCACTGGCCTTTCTCTTATCCCCATAACTGAGCCTGTGGGACTGTTGCAGACTACTGTGCACTCATGTGGAGTCAACAGCAACCAATATAGACATCAAACACACACACAGAACTGTTCCATTTCGTAGTGACATGTACACTTTTATAGATTAAGATTGTGTCTGTAAATTTTAAACCGCTGTTTGCCTGTACAATGTTTTCATACTCTTTGATTATTTTATAAAGTGTCCTATAAAAAAAGAAGCAAAAGAACCATCACAACGTAGCAAAATGCCAAAGGCATAATACCTATGAAAAATGTTTGCCAAAATATAAATCCATTGACATATTTAGGAAGGTTGTACATTACAATTTGTACTAAATCAGAGAGTGGAGACATTATATATGAGGTCATCTTCATTGAAAAATGTAATTTTTCATATATAGTCTCATGCTTTATGTAAAAATTACTGATTCCTCTATCACAAGTGTTACACTGAAATTTCTATTGTAAAGCTGGTGTGTGGTAAATAGAAACTCAATGAGTTTAGCAAAACATGTGAAGGGTACTGAAAACATCATCTAAAGAGAGAAGTTGTTAGGGTCTTAAAAGCAGTCATTGACGATTTAGATCCCCTTTCTGTGAGAGCAAATCCACTTCAGTCATCCTATCCTTATTAGTCCCTCAGAAACATAAAGAATCTCATCTCTGTGTCATCTATAGAAACAGACTGATTTTAAATGTAAACTGTTTTCAATATTCCCCAGAACAAAATCTGAAGTAAAAACTGAGACTTTCTCTAAATATGATAAGGTATATGCATTGAAATTATAGAAAACTACATTTTTCCATTGAGTTCAGATTGAAGTAATGTAGAGATCTATAACCAAAAAAATTAATATATATAATTTTTAACCTGATATTTGCAATGACATTTATAATATAAGGCAAAAAAAAAAAAACAAGCAGTGCAGAGTTTGTTTTGGAATATTTCATGTATCACTCTTACTAAAAGATAAAAAACAGTTAAATTTATGGATTATCTACTGAATAAAAATGGAGGAAGTACAAACATAAGCCAGGCATGGTTTTGAAATATGTAATCACCTAAATTTTAAAAGGTGACATTAATAAAGTATTCACCTGAGAAAACAAGTTACAAATGACTTATATTTATACACATTTTAAAGTAGTAAATGAATTCCCTATTATTACATAAGCCTCTATAAAAATGTTATCACAGGAATTATTAGAAAAAAGATATACAAATAAAATCTACAGCCCAATTATCTTCACTGTCATTACAATGCATGATCTATCAATTACTCACAAATTAGAAAATAAATTTCCACTTACTATAAATTTTTAAAATTATAATTGCTTAATTTTTTTAAAGTTTTACATGCCCATATGATAAGTTTTAAACAAACTATTAAAGAACTGGAGGGGGTAAGTTTTTAAGACTCTTAACCTTAAAAGTAAAATCAAAGTCATCTGGATGAATGTGAAACTGGTCCACAAGCTTACTGCTAGCCTTTCTGAAGCAGTACATGCCCATCAAGCCAGAAAATAATTGAAGCCTTTCATCTCCACTGATTCAGAAACTGGTTTAAGAAGGTCAAGCAGTGAGAATAGGCCTCACCAGTTACATACAGTATCATATTTTCATCTTGATAGTTATATGCCAACTGATTAAAAAAAAAAGATGCATTTATGTTTTAATGGTGTGCTGTGCATTTTGACTTCTAAACAAAGTTGCTATGGCTTACTTGTCTAGGTAAATTGAGTCAACTGAACAACTCATCTATAAATAAATGTTAGAAGTATACTGGATGCTTGTATAATAAGAGGAGGAAAAAGAAGACATCCCCACATGTACCCACTCACAGTACAGGTATTCTGCTACGTGGAGCAGCAAATCTATTTAGGCCACTCAATGTAACTTGGAAGCCACATTAAATCCTAAAGGACATGGATACTTTCTACATTATTCTCCAACTGGCTACTATGGTATTCTGAAAGCAACATAAATACACATGAGAAATGAATGAGAGAGAATGTTATTTCAAACTAGCTTTGTACAGAATTCCTTTTTCATTGCTTAAAACATGTAACTTCCTCAGGAAGAAAGGAAATGGTTATTTCAATGTTTATAGCTATAATATTCTTGTCATTCACATTGAATGAAAAATACTAGAAACATTTTTTTCTCTGAGTTTTTTAAAATAAAAACCTGGATAAAATTCTGATAGCATGGTACCTCATATGTACAACAATAAACTGTGATTTAAAAGAAAAAAATTAAGAGGTTGGACCTGGTCATTTTAAGTATTTGATTTCTTTTGTATGGGTCAAAGTGGGAGGTGTTTATAGAATATGGATGCCATCAATATCATTTAAAATGGAGTGATGCATAGAAAACTTCCAAATAGGAAGTTAGACTTTTAAAAAATAACATAACCTTTTGTAGATTCTTCTCCTAGTTAATGTTAGTAAAAAGTTTTTTATTCTAATGGATAAAAGCAGTTTGTAGGGTCACTTATGGGACCCTAGAAAAAGAATCAAAACTGCACAGCCATTACTTAACAGACTTGATTATATTATTTCTTATTCCTGATGCTCTGCTCAGCTTCCCATAAATTACACCTTTTTTTCTTTAGAGCTTTTAAAGGCTATATATATATTTTTTAAATGGAACTTGCTTTGATTTTCTCAGAAAGAAAGCAGATATAGTATAAAAATCTACAATTTTTCAAGAAAGATACATATTGATAGTTTCAGTATATTCAGAAAATTTTCATTTCTCCCTTCCCATCCCTTTCATTCTTAGATATCTTATTCTCTCATGTTCCAGCCCACCCAGTCTAGGGCACCAATTGACTCCCCATTGGCTTGCCTCTCACACACACAGTCGTCCAATCTGGGATGCATCTAACTCCCAATTTTCTCTCTAAATATGCCACCCTCTATTCCACCCAGCCCAGGACAAAACAGCCCCATCAATGTAATCTATTTATATACTTTTCCATGGATATTCTTTATACATATATATATATATATATATATATATATGTAAGCACTGCAGTTTCTGGGAAATATATTTTAGGACCAGGCTCACAATAGGGAGATACTAAATGCCTCAAATATTAAATATGAAGGTACTTAATTTCAAATCATACTTTGAATTATACTCTTATTTCTGTTGTGCCAGCACTAACTCTGTTCACCACCTACAGCAGAGCCACAGCCTCTTCCTACCCACCCAGCCTGCCCGCATACGCCCATGCCAAGTAGCTGGGATCGTGGGAAGTGCAGTGAGTAGTGGGAAGGATTGTGGTAGGTAATCCTTAAGGAATGATTTCTGTGTTGTCTTGAAATATAACCTTTTGCCTTTAGACAAATCCTAAGGATAAATCATAAATGTGACATTTGAGGATAAAAGCTAAAGACACAATGTGACACTGATTCCATTCTCCCCCCCAAAATTTAGATTCTAGTTTGATTACAAGTCATGTACCTGTGGCTGATGGTGCCCAACAGAACTGGGAGCTACTTGTCCACCATTATTGTCCTCAATTTGTTATCAATAAGTGCTCCCTACATATTCAGTGACCTTAACAAATAGCACAAAGTAGAGTTGGACTGATTAATGTACAAAATTTACTTTTTAAGCCACCCTTGTACCTTCTGCCATTAATTCTAAAACGACCAAAACTTCTTTTTTAGTTTCTATCATTTCTCATTTGATGCACAAAGCTACAACTACAAAAATGAATAAATCACTAAAATTAAAACTACACTTTGATCATCCTCTAGACAAACAAGAATCATGAATAGTAACCGTAGTATTCAAGAAGACATCCACTTGCCAGGCTCAGGTCAAATATTTTATCTGCACAGCAATCAGGAAAACATAGCAAGTCCCACAAATTAAATACTCACAACATAAAGTCTTCAAGATCTTGTTAGGAAGAAACGTATTGGCCCACAGTTTATCATACAGAAAATGGAATTAAACTGAGTGAAATGTGAAACATTTCCAAAGCGCACAGACTTTGTGACAAATCTTACATAAAACTGTCTACATCAAGCTGCTTCTTGGTTAGAAGAGAATAAATTAAAAGCAGAAAATGCCTTCTGTCTACACTACTTATGCCAAAATGCCTAGTTCAAATCAATAACGTGATGGAAACCAGATCTGGCTCTTAAAAAGTATGCATAATTTATATAGTTCGAACACAGAAGATTGGTCATCTTCTCTATTTGGGAAATAAGCTGAATATAAATTTTTTATACAGAAAAGCAAGTTCAACATACTACATACTCTTATGGAGTTAGTCTACCTTTAAGAACTTAATCTATGCCCTTCAAAGTAAACAAAACTTTTAAAGGCTCACAAAACAACATGAAAAATAAAATAAAAAATAAAGTTGTATCACACATGAATAAACTTGCAAGCTTAAGAAAGTAAAAAATACAATTTTGAAAACTATTAAACATCATATTAATAAATTTTTACCCCATCAGCCTGAGGAAGCCATCTTATTTGTACCCCATATTATTTACAGGGATGTCTTAAATAAAACTGAATAGCAAAGAGGATATTCTGGACTACACTAGTCCAGTATCTGTTCTTCAGTAAGTGGCATTTGGGCAGGTTAGTTTTCTCTTTTAGATCTCAATTTCCCCAGCCATGAATGCAAGAAGTCAAATGTGATTCTTTGTAACCCCACTTCTCCTTTTTTTTACTTTAATTATCAGCTATTGTCACATTTGACTGTCCTTGTCTTTCACAAATTCTGGCACAGGGTAGGAGCCATGAACAATCAAGACATTAAACTGAAAGCCAACACTGGGTTTGAAGAATTCAAACTTCTACATCACTTTTCTTTGGAGACTATAGGGTACGTTTAGCAGAAATCTATTTCCATATTTTTTTTAAAATCACAAACATAACAAAAGAGTAGAAACAAGAATATCAATGTATGCCAAAAATTAGGAAGATGAGCAAAGGGTAAATGAGAAACAATCATGTAAATGAGATAAATGTCTCACTCGAAGACACTGCTAGCAGACACTGCTTAAAGTTGACATAAGAAAAAATTAAGGTAAGACACAATCGGAATTTACAAATATAATCAATACAACTTCAATAAATTGGTAAGAGGGACTTACCTTTGATAAATGAGGCTAAAGTGTACAACTGAGGAGAAATGCTTGAAATTTTATTGCCAAGTACAGTACAGTACATGTACTACTTTTTGTAACAATAATAGCAGAAATAATCTGTCATTTAAAAAAATAAGTGAAAATATTCAATACTAAGTGTGTGATCTGGTGAACTAAGAAGTTCACAAAGGCAAGGAATGTAAGCACCAGCTGACTTTACCTCTTAGGCAGGATGTTATTCAGAGACTGACTCTGTCCCAGGGAAGAGCCTTCTTATATGTTAGTGCAGTGATTCTAGAAGTATAGAAGCATAGTCTGTAAACCCTTTGCAGACCCCAGTCGTCTTCAAGGGACTTACAGGTCAAAGCTATTTTCATAGTAACACTAATCTATTATAAATATATATGTATACATATACATACATATATATATACACGTATGTGTATACACACACACACATATAAATGTCACTCTGCTGGTATATTTTCATTAATTTTTTTCAAGAGCAATAATGGATAAAACTGCTGATGCTCTTATCTAAATGGAGACAGTTACATCCATCTATAGTAGTAGTCCTTGCATTCTTTACCATTACATACTCATTTTTGAAAGTCATGTCACAAGAGAATGTCCTTAATTGATGAAGAATAATAACTTCAACCCTTAAATATGTAACTTGTTAACATTCTCTGTGACAAAACTGAAGTGTGCCTAGATCATTTCTGCTACATAATAAAGTACACAGCTGTCCAAGGAAAAGTACTGGAACAACTGTTTGAATTGAAAGCTAAAGTAGCTATGTCATTTGTGGAACATCACTTTTATTTGAAAGAATAAGTGACAAACAGCAATGGTTTTTAGGCAAGTGATAGCAGACATTTTTTTTAATGATCAGAGTTAATCTGTCAAAAACAATTGACACTGTTATCACCAATGATAAAATTTGAGCTTTTGGCTAAATACTGTAACTTTGCAGAACTTGTATCTGCTACTAGGGGTTTAACAGCATGTTAATATTTAAAGACTTTTTCTAATTATATTGATGATATTGACAAATATGATTTTCATAATATCATATGACATGTATCAACATATGGGAGATCCATGTAATTCAGTGAACCAAAAGAGCAAGGCATGAGATTACAAAATTATTATAATAGTAAAAGACCCATTCCTAGCACAAAATAAATACTTCATGGTGTAACAGAGTACGTATGAAATGTTCATCATTTCATTTTCAGATTTCACATTACAAAAATGTTTAACAAAATACCACTTGTTAAGTTTTAGTATAGTAGTATCAATGAAAGATATCCACGATGATCTGAAAAGGACCTATGTATGTGTATGTTGTGTATATGTGTACACACTTACCCATGCCAAATACCTACCTATGTTAAGACAGACTTTCTTTGTATACTTCAACAAGAACAACAAAATGCCATTGTAAAACAAGACTAAAATCGATATTAAAAAATCTAACTGTCTTATATTGAATTAAACTTTATAGAAATTGGCCAAAGGGGAAAAAAAAGGTAACACAATAGCATTCCCATTGACTTTATCTTAGAAAACAGTTATTTTTCATTAAAACAATGACCTGACTATGGGTTTGGTCTTACTAGCTTTAATTAAAATTTTTAATTCTTCAATTTAGATTTCTAATCCACAAATTATTAAGTGATATAACCCTTATAAACAAAAGTCCTTTCAGGTCTTCTGCAATTTTGAAGAACGTAAAAGAATTCTGAGACCAAAAACTGTGCCATCGGCACAGGATTTGGAAGTAATTTAAGTACCAAAAGCCAAGGTTGATACCATAGACAACAGGCGATAAGAAATCCAGACCATACCTCCTATCGCCTTCCTATGCCGCTCTCAGACTGGAAATTCCTGGCTGGAGATGAACAATATGAGAAAGGGAGAAAAGAGGAAAACACGAGTACTGAGTTTCTCGTCCCTCATCCTTTCATCCTTGCCACCAAACTGAGTCCTGAAAATGAAAGGATAAGAGATCTTCAAGAAAGATAATTCAAAGGTTAAAAAAGCTGTGTCTTACTTTCCATCTAGAACTATGCAAAGCAGCCACTGCCTTTGT